TGACCGAAACAGACAGACCGAGACAGACTGACCGAAACAGACAGACCCAGACAGATCGACCGAGACAGACAGGCCGAGACCGAGACAAACGCACCGAGACAGAACCCTCTGTGAAAAGGCTGGTGATTAGATAGGGCCATAGCGAAACGTTGCTAGTTCCCGGCTGTGCAAGCGCAGGGTGCTAATGACATGTATGTCTGGAAGTATGTATGCATGTATGTCTGTCTGCATGGATGGATGTCTATGTCTGTATGTGCGTGTGTGTCTGTTTTCCCTTTACTCTGCGCGGGCGGCTTCGACCGCGAAGCGGTGTGAATCACCTCTCACTAGGCCTCTCCCTTGCATTATCCCCCAGCACGGTCCATTACCATTGTACTATTTTTGTCAAGCATCACCAGCAAGCCGGGTTAGAGATCAGGAGAGACCCAATCCTAGTCACACACTCACGGTGTCACGAAGAAAGATGAACCGGATTGAACACACAAGGAACACGATGATTATGAAATACGCCCATGGAAGAACAAGGCATGTCTTGTCTTTCACCTAGACCCCAGTCGCAATCCCATAGGGAGGCGCTCTATTTGTGCATCAAATTTTACCATATAATCTTCTCCGCAAGTTCTTCTGGTTATCTTAATCAAAGTGCCCAAGAAATTCAACCCCAAGGGCACTGCTTCCCTCTTCACACAACTGAGGCTTCGGCTGCCCACGGATAGCCATCACACAGCGATCGATCGATCGATCGAAGTCGCACACAGCGTCGTCTGCTGGTTCGCTGCGCTGAAACGCGTTGGTTCGCCAAAAATTTTGCGTTTGAGCCACAAAGTCGTGGAGAAACACCAGGCTTTGACTTGGAAAGAGTCCTTACCCACTGGTAGAAGTGGAGAAACGGGTCTCACATAGACGCTTAGATCAATCCCACGCCAGTACACCCCTACAATCTACAACCACAGTCCTTTACTAGACCGCTGTTCCCTTATGCTGAATCTGAAGGGAGCCAACATCAGTTTGAGATAAACCCCTATGGACCCACAGATGAACCCCCCTTTCATTTTCTGTTGGAAGGCCAGCGGAAGTTCCTCTTCCAACTCTGCGCTGCTTTAAAACCCAGTTGCCGTCCAGACGAGTCCGAAGGATTTGTCTAGAGCCTGTGGCAACTGCCTGCAACATGTGGAAGAATAACACGGGGAGATATGCTCAACTGCAAAAGTTGCGCGCGTCAATCCAAAGCTGTTCAACTCCTGCTTTATCCAAGCCTACGCGGTTGTTTAACGCCTTTGGCTGTGTCTGTGCAACAGGGATGGAACCGAGCTTCGCTGGCCAGGAGTTCAGCAGGTAAGGTTAAGAGATAAGTGTCACATGAACAATACAGATCGCACCATATATCTACGCTGGGTTGCGCTGGGTGCCATGAGCCTTCAAGTGCAGCTGCACCCGGAGAAAAACATGAAGAGCATGGAAGAGGAAGCAAAGGTGGTCTTCTTCCCAGGAGTGGCAGCCAAGCTGTCAGGCAATCGAATACAATCGAGCTGTTGCCAGGCAGCCACTACTTCCGCAGCATTTCTTTTCAAACCGCAAAGGCATTCCAAGGAACTGTCAGAAAATGCTGCGGCCTCCCGCTACCAACCTTTGAAGGCTCTGCTTTCTGGCTGCAAGCATGGTGTGGAAACAAAAGCTGGGCAAATTCATCAAGGGTTCCTTCCTGGCCCGCATCCTTGGCAGTACACCGAGAAATTGATGCACAAGCACCCTTACCAACAAAGGACAAACAATAAGAATCTTCTGAACAAGTCACTCTACATCGCGATACTGTAAGAGAAGACTATTGGAACTGCTTGCGACATGTGTGAGACGAGATCAGCATGGAAGAATAACACGGCAAAATATGCCCAACTGCAAAGTTGGGCGCATCAATCCAAAACTTTCAACTTTTGGCTTGTCCAAGGATGTTTCTGCGTGTTTGACGCCTTCGGCTGGGGAACAGGGATGGAACCGAGCTTCGCTGGCCAGGAGTTCAGCAGGTAAGGTTAAGAGATAAGTGTCACATGAACAATACAGATCGCACCATATTTCTACGCTGGGTTGCGCTGGGTGCCATGAGCCTTCAAGTGCAGCTGCACCCGGAGAAAAACATGAAGAGCATGGAAGAGGAAGCAAAGGTGGTCTTCTTCCCAGGAGTGGCAGCCAAGCTGTCAGGCAATCGAACTGTCGCAAGGAAGCCACTACTTCCGCAGCATTTCTTTGCAAAGTGCAAAACCATTCCAAGGAACTGTCAGAAGTTGCTGCGGTCCACCGCTACCAACCCTTTAAGGCTCTGCTTTCTGGCTGCAAGCATAGTGTGGAAACAAAAGCTGGGCAAATTCATCAGGGGTTCCTTCCCGGCCTGCATCCTTGGCAGTACACCGAGAAATTGATGCACAAGCACCCTTACCAACAAAGGACAAACAATAAGAATCTTCTGAACAAGTCACTCTACATCGCGATACTGTAAGAGAAGAGCATTGGAACTGCTTGCGACATGCGTGAGACAAGCTCAACCTGGCAAAGCATGGAAACATCGGTTTATCATCAGTCTATCGCCTCTTCAGGCTATGTGGAAGCCTAATGCCGCCGGTTCTGCAACTTGGTCACAGCCCAACTTGACAAACCAAGAAACCGACGGCTCAAAAAGGCTTCTGTGTCAAATGAGGGGTATCCTCTGAGAAAGGAAGGAAAACAGAAACTTTGTCGCTGAGACAGACCCATACACATCAGTACACATCTAATCCTTGGATCACTCCACCACTTGGTCGTCCAATAAGAGAAGTTCACCATCAACTTTCACACCACGCGCACTGGGAGCTGCCCTTCTGAATCTTCCAGTTCGGAAAGCTCGCCGCCTGGCATGAGCTATCTCTTCAATGCATCACCTGCAAGACATTGACCCTGAACTTGCGCTGCTGATTGATTCTCGGCTCCCACAGGTGCAGCTAGACGCACCGAAACTGCCACACCCCTACGGCTGACAACACCTGACCCTTGGTCGGGGGTGGCCGAATCCTGCTAGCAGTGGATGATGCGCATCTTAGTTTGGACCCAAAGGCTTGTTCCTGGCATGGCTTGTTGCGGCTTCACCTCCAGACATGGAATGCCCAGTCGAAAAGACAGCCACGCTTTGCGGCGGTCACAAAACAGTTTTGTCTTGCTTTCAATGCTTCACACCTGCAAGTGACTGCTCAAATCTGAAGTGGGGAAGCATAACTTCAGCATCTAGAGTGTGTGCGACGTGAACTCTGTGTCTCTGTTGCACCTCTGAACTGAAAGGTGCAAACTTGTCCAAATGAGTTCGCTCGGCACACCGGGCCAACTCGCGCCACGAGTTACAGCTCTTCCTCATCTCAAGGTCGCCAGTGTTGGAAGCTGAGTCCAGGAGGACCTAAAACATCCTAAAACACTGGTATCAGAGCACATGAAGGATACACGAGGTCTGAACAAGAACAGCTAACCTCCACTCGAAGGTGAGCCAAACTTGCACTCACGCAGTCTGAAGAAGAACCGCTACAACAAAAACTGAGGCCGCTGCGAACTCTTTGGTTTCACGGTGCGGCGCTCGCAGACCAGCCGTGGCCACAAAGCATAAGTCTGCAGAGTCTGCAGCCTTTGTCTACCTGCCCCACTGATACTGCAGCTCAAGAGGCGAAAAAGCCCAAGCACTTCCATCACTGCAGCCGCTGGGCTCACCCCTGGCCTTCCACTTGTCTTCCAAGGCGCAACATTTTTCTGAAAGTTTTACGGTCGTCATCAACCGGCTTCCCACTTCAACTCCAAGCAGGGTTTACAAACACTGGCCTTGTGACTGATGTTCCAGATTCATTGGTTTGTCTCAGAATATTCATAGGAGCCTCCCAGACAGAAAAGGTTCAAATCTCCCTGTCCACACACAACGCCAACGTTGCGCAAGCGTCTACAGTATTATTTGTCCACATCGCCTACAGAACATGCTTGCTCTTAGGAGGGCCGGCCATTCCCGCGCCGAGAGCGGACGACGTGTGAGATCGGTTTGGGTCAGGGATTTCGGGGATGAGTCCTACACTTACGCGAGTCTCAACTGAAGCAAAGAAGGCTAGGATGGACACAAGCTTGGCAAAGCCAAAGTCTGAGGAGCTAAATGAAACATCACTTCCGTCTTGCACCAAGTCTGCACTTGTCCAAAGGCATGAAAATCTCCCAGCACTGCTCCGTGTAGAACCTAGCTGGACAATGTACAAAGCCCTGTGGCTGACCATGTGGAGGTGCCCAGCCATGCCTCTACCGTGCCCTTAGGTTGCATCGCTCTTAGGTTGGAGGCCATCGCTAGCAGGTTGGAAAAGATGTTACGAAGCAGGATGTCTCCATGCCTCCACGCTGCCGTTCCACCGTGCCCTTCTTCAAGCAGTCCCGGCCCCCCACGGCAAGCCACCGCAGTGCCCAAAATCCCGGTGTCTCCGTTCTCCAGGTGGACATATGGTTGTGGATCAAAACCAGGATGCCTTGCTTGACCTACCGGAAACCCGCCCCTTCCGAGCGATTCGATCCAGCCAAGCACCTCAACGCCCAGGTACCGACTGTGCATTCCGGCACCGACGTGGCAGAACGTGTGGCAGGCGGCTTCAGTACCTGGAGTCAATCTCAGTGGACGTAGTCCTTCACACTGGAGACACCGAACTGCCAGCAGCACTCTTCATGGGATGCCAAACTTTCATTCATCCATCATCCGTGCTGTTCGCGGTCGTCCCTTTTGGACAAGCTGGCTGAAAATCATCTGGGTATGTCACATGCTGAAAATCATCCCCGGGCAATTCAATGAATGCTGACGGTTAAAAGAGGCTTAGGGAAGACAGCGAGCACGAGGGAACTGGAGTTGAGACTGCCCATGACAGTCGTCATGGAACACGTGGGGGCTTCGCTGTGCGACTCGATGGCAGATCCTCACGGATCCCATGTGCGCCTCGGAAAACGGCTTCCTAGGAAAGCTGCGAAACACCTGTTGTCACTGTAACCTGGAAAATGGCGGAATTGCAATGGGAGCTCAGTCATTTGTGAATACTTCCAGAATCTATCAGAGTCAATCTAGTAATCTAGTAGTTTGGTTGATTCTATTGAACTGTTTGCTCCTGCAAAGCATTGAGGCTTCACCTGCAAGGCGTTGCCCCTCAAACTTCTTGGCCTTGTGGGAAGACTGAACTTGCGCTGCTGATTGATTCTCTGCTCCCGACAAACATCGGACCCTCGGTCGGGGGTGGCTGAATCCTGTTAGCAGTGGATGATGTACACCTTGGTTTGAACCCAAAGGCTTGTTCGTGGAAATGTTGGGCAAGAGAATCAAGAATCGAAGATGTAGCAGCCAGCTGGCGCTTTTGGGCTTGTTGTGGCTTCACCTCCAAGTCTCCTGCTCAAGCTTTAGCTCGGGCTGCAGTTTCTGAAGCCTTCGAACCTGAGAAATGATGCAATCCTGCTCGGGACAGATTGCTAGACATTTTGGAATCTTCAAGTGACTGCTTGAACATTTTGAGGATGAAGCCACTGCATCTAGATTGCATGTGGTAATATCGAAGTCAGAACAGAATCAAGTGAAATCTCCACTGCAAGCTGTGTTGTTCTTTTGATTGACCCCTGGAAAAGGCAGATGGGAAGATTGACAAAGTTAGGCTCAAGTGGTTACCTTCAAACTCACCGGAGGCTTTTGCTGAAGGACCTCCTCACTCTTCCAACACATCGCACGAAGGGAGTTGGAGTGGCTTCAAGGTCTGTCATGAACGGTTGTCATCCAAGGCATTCACGATGGCAATGTCTAAGGCCAGCTGAATCGGGACATGGGCCGAGGCATTCATGCACCATCCGGCAGACACCCTACGAAATGTGCTGCAGAGCGCACAAGCACATCTGCAGGCCGCCATCCCGGCCAAAGGCCAGGAGTGCCCAGATCAGGTGGCTGTTTCAGATGCAAGCATGATAGACAGTGACAACTACAAAGAAATCGACTCAACTCCACATCAAATTCGACCCATGTCCTCTGCTTCATGTATGTATGGTTGTTCTCCTACACATGCTGCCGCGCTCCGTGAGCCTAGTCAAGTATTCACAAATGGATTTGAAATGATCAACCTGGCTGTTTCAAGGAGTACATCGGATTGACAGCCAAGAGCAAAAGTTGCCGCATACACTGAGCCCACTGGGGAGGTTTAGACAGCCAGGAGTTGCAACAGCAGCCGTCTTGAGGGAAATCAGCCTGAGTCTGGCGATGAGTCTTGGCCGTAACTTATGTCACAAAAAGTGTTTTGCGTGTCCACTGGCAAAACCACATGGTCTACCTGGTAATCTTACCACCGTGGTCTTGGTATATTTTTTGGTATCCAGATCTTGACGTACAACGAAAACAAGGTCTGACAAGTTACTCTTCCTTGATGCAAGGGCACGGAACGCGCTCAAGGCTGCAGAGCAGAGGTTTGCAAAATGGCTATTTCACGCATTTCACGCAAGACCACCACCAGGTCTCTGCGTTTCATGAACCTAGAGTAGGCACTGTATCAACTCATCAACCAAACATCAGATTGGCATAAGCCTGAGCTGCATGCCAAATTGCACTCACAAAGTGAGTAGTTCCAAGCCACTTTTACTGAACAACTATGCGCCTAGCTGCAGTCTTCACTGGGTCAGAGGCAGGGATCATTCAGTAGTTCTTTGGTGAATCATCAAGCTAGCAATCCGAACTTCAAGTTGGTCTAACCAACTTGGGCATACCTTCAGTGAGCACCTCAACTTGGCGCATGGCATGGGAAGTCACGTGCGTCTGCCACGTTTGGAATCTCCGGTCTTTTCGGGCAAAGCGGATTCCCTGTCGTCCGAAATCTCTGAAGAACCTCCTTCGCTCCAAACGCATGGTGGTTGAGAAGAAGGTCTCCAGGTCTCAAGTTTGTGCAGGTGCTTTCAAGCTGGCTTGGACCTGGACTTACTTCCCCCTAGCAATGAGTTGCTAAAGCCTGTCCAAGTTGGTTCGAATCGGTTCGAAGGCTCTAGACTTTAGACTTTAGGTGACACATATCGGTTCCGGCCTTTTGTGGGTGCCTCGCATGACAGCGTTGGCAACATCAATCAATCAAGCAGAATCAGTAGATTTGCCTACTAAAAGTTTAAAAGATTTGCAGTTCAGCTTACAGTTCTGCGAGCTCCGATGGCGACCTGAAGTCGAATCAATCTTGAGCCGCCTCATGACATTGTTTCATGCCTGGACACCTGGAAGGGAGTTGAGCGGTGTAAAAATGCAAAAACTGGTCTACAATCTTGTCTACTCATATAATTTGCTTCCGCTGAAGCTTGCACCGACTGCGCTTTGGCTTCTGCCGGCCAAGTTGTTCTGCAAAACCTCTTCCACGACGTGTCTGCGACATGTTGTGTCCAATGAGTGCTCATATGTTGGACGAATGGTCATACAAATGCAAATGACAGCTCAAGAAGTGAACAGGTCAGATCTGCAAGAAGTGAACCTTTCACTTCCGCGAGCTTTCGCGGCTAGCGCGTTCAAACACTTCCACGGGGGCGTCACCAAGCTTTGCCACATACAGTGTTTGCTTCAGCTGGAGTTGACAAGTTGGGTTATTCTGCCTGCGAGACCCTTTTTTACGCTTCTCAGGTGGTAGACAACCCATCTACAGCATGGACGTAGCATTGCGCAGATACATCTCTTTACACCGACACACTTCTGCAATTCTGCAGGCAAGCCAGCATGGTGAAGAGAAAACCCCAAGAGGTGGTGAAAGGCATCGAAGCATGGCTTACAGAACGGATTCAGGGTGATCCAGGAAAGACCCGCCATCTGAGTAGCGTTCTTTGGGGTGTAGTTGTACCGCGTAGCCACCGCGAAGCCTACGCTTGCAGGTTTGATGGCTTTGCGTAGCCTTCGCGTAGAGGAACTATTACGCGTAGGCACCGCATAGCCTACCTCTGCAGCAAAAGCGACCTCGCATAGCCTCTCGCGGAGTTCAAACGGCCTCGCGTAGCCTCAGCGAAGGCGATTTCAAAAAAGAACACTGCTCATCTGTGGGTCTGCGAAATATCTACAAGTGATTCCTTAGACCCGTGGGGGCTTTAGAGTGGCCGTACTCGCTCCACCCTCAGCGCATTGTTCGACGGTTAGGGGAATTTTTCTAATCCACGGATCTGTACAAAACTGTTGCATTTCAAGTGGAGCAAAGATCCATCTATCGTCACACACGAGTACCTCCAGTAACTGAGACATCCAGCTGTCTCCCAAAAACCAGTTCAGTGTCTAGTTGGCCTTTGAGATCAGGTCCAACCAACTGGACGCCTATCATCTTGCGGGGCTATGCATCACCTTTCACTGAAGCCTTTCTCCTCGCAAAAAATACAAAACCTGATGCCTTTGCTACCTCGTGGCACAAAGGTTTAAATTTGGGCCCCAAATGGCACCTGGGCGGCAAAATGGGCCCCAACTGGCAGGCCCGTTTTGCTGTTCTTGTCTGCCTTGTCCCAACCAACCTGCGCTTTGAAGATCGGAGACCGAGCACTAGTGACTGTGGCATGGACTCCGGGATTGTAGGGGAGAGGGGATTCCTTCCCAGTGGCTTTTGTGCAGGTTGTATCCTTCCAGAATGGTCCTTCAGATGTGAACCAAAAATGCGCTCGGAATGGTGGTTGATGGCGAAATGTATTTCTGTGAGGGAATGATGGCGGCGAAGAAGCCTCAACGCTGTGTCAATCAATGCTAGTCAATGTCTGCAGGTTGCATCTAAATCTGCTGAGAAGCCAAGTAGCTAGTAATTGCTCAGTCTACACTCATGCTTGCTCAGTCTACCCTTCGCGACCACAGTACCACAGTACGCAGGTACAAAGTCACCTGAATGAGTATGGCCGAGGTGGGATCCAACGGGCTGTTTTCAACGAAGAGGCCGGTAGTTTACGGCCCGCCGGGTTGTTTTTTTTTATGCAAGCTGACCAAAGTCAGGAGGTTGGGTTCAGCTTGCTCCTAGTGACCATCGTGACCTCTTTCTCTTTCTTTACGCCTTTGGCTCACAACAGCAGGTTCAGCTCCTTCAAACAGGTCTGGCAGGTCTGGTCAAAAAGGAAACGCCTTGCGCGCTCAACGGGTGCAAAACATCCGAAACAAACCAGTTTCTGCTAAAATTCATTGCAAACTCTTCTAAATGCCAGACACGCGTCAACTCACTGCTTTGAAGCATCATGTGCAGTGTACAAGACATTCAGCTACTTCATCCCTCCGCTAGGAGGAGGATTCAGGGTGTGAGGAACCAGCTGCCAGGTCTTGTCCAGCTCAGCATGAGCTTTTGGCCAAAGAGTTGATGGACACCCTTACATGACATGTCTCAGGGCCTCTTTAGCATCAGTGCCACTCCTTGTCTTGGCTCCACCCGCCCCCCGATCGTAAGGCATGGAACTTCGGTAGGCGATTTCGATCTGCGATGTGGTGGTCATGTCACCGCAGCTCCCTGGCAAACACCTGGAAAAAGAACACAAAACTCTGCCATGATGTATTTACCTTCTTCACTGACCCCATGGTCACCGTTGTCAAATTTGGTTTGCACGGGTGGAGCCGCCATGTGTGCAAAGAATGCACAGGTCAGCTTGTGCTACTTGTGAATGAGTCTCCGGCCAGGGTAGGGCAACAACCAAAAACCACCAAAGCCCCCACCAAACAACCAAACAAAACCCAAACAACAAACAGCAAGGCCGGCAGGGAGACTCAGGTAAGTCATGCAAGGGTGAAACAACAGGTGAAGCCAAAATGAAGTCTACGTGGGGCATTGTTTTTGGCAAAAAGCCTCAGAGTGAGCAGCTGCGAAGGTGCGAAGGTGTTACCGACTTGGGTTATTTCCAATGGAAACCGTTCACCTTGAACCTCGCTGCCACATTGTTCACTGACAAGTGCTAGCATACCAAGCAAGTGTGCACGAAACACGACCGACCGCAATGCGCTCCTTTTTCATGCACAGGGGTGAATCCGAAAGTCTGGACCCGCCGACACCAACGGCTGGGTTAGGCGTCTTACTTGGTTGACAAGTGATGTACGTGTTCCACACCGAGATGGTTCGGTTGGAAGACATGGAATGTATCGAAGGACGCGCCGACGGTGGCACGATGTGAGCTGTTGCCCGTGGGTGGGCTGTAATGCGTCAGGGTGGGTGACGGGCAAATACGCTACGAACAAGCTTTGTTTTAAAGCTCTACCCACCGCCCTCCCTGGAGCCCAGCTCCGGCGGTGTTCGATTCATTCCGATTCTAATGTCATGTGTCACAAGTGCAGCTCACTAAATCTTCAAACATGAAAATTTTTTCCTTTTATGAAATAAGGTGCGAATCTTTGTTCCAAAGAGTCATCACTTATTTCCTATGGAAACCGTTCACCTTGAACCTTGCTGCCACATTGTTCACTGACAAGTGCTAGCATACCAAGCAAGTGTGCACGAAACACGACCGACCGCAATGCGCTCCTTTTTCGTGCACAGGGGTGAATCCGAAAGTCTGGATCCGCCGACACCCCCATGTCAGTCCAGGCTTCGAATCTAGCCAAGGAAGTCTTCCCAGGGGATCTCTTCCATGATGGCCCCTCTCAAGAGACTCGAGCTGAAACAAAGTCGGCTAGGCCCATCCGCTACATTCGAACGGGATGGCACTCTCGAGAACCAAGTAATGCACTGCTGCGGAGTGCTGCTCCCTAGGTCGAGTTGGTGTCAGTCACGAAACGGAGGACAGCAACGTCCTTGCACCAGGGGCACAGCTAGGCAAATATGCATTTGAGAGTTGCCTCACGCTTACAACCATCACCTTTGACATGGACCACACCAACAAACCTCGAGCGCTGCCTGAAGGTGCATTTTGTGGAGCAGGCATTGAACAGCTCTGTTTGCCAAGTGACTTTCACAATATCGGGCCGCGGGCCTGTGAAAACTGCAAAAGACTTGTGGAGGTCAACCTCATGGGCACAGAAATCACAGCCCTACTCTATTCCACCTTTGCCCACTGTGTAGCCTTAAATTGCATATGGCTTCCACCACGACTCACGCAAATTGGCAAAGAAGTTTTCCTTAATTGTGTTGCGCTCCAAGAAGTAGTCATCCCGACAGAGCTCAGTGACATAGGCAACCGTGCTTTCTGCGGGT